TTATGGGCAGAATTCGCACACATACGATTACCAGCAAAGAAATGCTCAAGACCGTTATATTGGACGAATGGAGTAAAATGTCAGCCCAAGATACGAGAAAATTAGTACATTCCATGCCTAAACGTCTAGCAGAAGCTCTAAAATTTCGAGGCTACTCCAACAGCTGTTAAACTTTTTATAATTACTTGATATTATTGTGTTCTGGTTGATGAGCGGAGACTTTTTCCGTTTAAGTTAATTGTTTTTAAAATGAAAATGAGCTCTGTGGCTTTTGTTTATTGAATAATTTGACAAAAAAGTAAATTTTTTTAAACAAAAAGATATGATTTAATAAAACAAAAAAAAAATTTTAAATCTCTTAATTGGTCAAACTTTTATTTTGGTTCAAAAGAATTTGTTCCCAATGAGCGGAGACTTTTCTACTTAGTTTATGTAACCCTGTATCTAACTCTATTAGTTTTAGGTGATATAAATAACCGTTGGGTGAACAAAACTATTATACTCTGTAGCAACATGTTGCGAGAGTATAAAAACAGGGTTTTATGGTCAAGTCGCACACAAGCACTCATTCATATCGGTAAGTGCAATAGGTAAGTGCATAATGTTGTCGCGAAAGAGCACTTAAGTAAGCAGAAAGTTATTTTTTCCCATGAGAGCACGTTTTGCCTCTTTGGAATCAAGGAGCTTAAGATTTTATGGTGAAAAACAATCTTGATGTGAAGAACAGTGGTGAAGACGCAATGATATGGGGATGCATAGCTTGTAACTGTGTGGACCAAATCGAATGTATAGAGTTCACGATGATTAAATATGCATACTTTAATATCTTAAAAATAAATTTGAAGCAAAGAGCGGTAGAATTTGGTTTTGGAAGTGACTCCGATTTTCTACAGGATTACGGCACGAAGCATACAGCAGACATAGTTAAGCTTTAGTTATTCTACAACGTTCCCAAGCAGCTTCAAATATCACCAGATTTTAATCATAAATAGGTCCTATAAGATTTACTGGTACGTAAAATCCACCAACGCACAATTAAGAAAGCTCTAAGCTTGTATTTTCCATGTCATAAGCCTTAGCGGAAGTTCAAACGTTGAGTACATCCGACTTCCTATTAAATTTTAAGAAGAATTCGTAGGAAGAATAACTTTACTCGACTTATGTACCTTGTACGCAGACTTTTTCTAATGGATTTTCTATTCTTCCGTATGTTTTTTTTTTTTGTTTATCTGTTACTGTCGACTATTTAATCACTTTTTTTTTTTTAAACTGCATATTTAATAGCTTTAATGAATATCAAATAAATTAAGTTTTATAAAAATTATATAAAGTTATTTTTTCCAACAATGTATTTTTGTGGGTACCTTGTACGCAGACTTTAACTGTGCAGTATATGTGATGGCGGGGCAGTGTATTAGATGGCGGGGCCACGCCCATTTTTTCAAAATTATTTTATTACGGTACCCATAGCTACAGAAATCCCCTGTACCAAATAACCGGTTTATATCTTAATTAAGTGCTTAGTTTATGCATCTTATAGGTTTTCTATTAATGGATTCCGATTACGGAACATATGTAACAAGTTTCATCGAGGTATCTCAATTTATACTCAAGTTATCACAGAAAAAGTTACAAACATACACACATAATAATAATAACATACATACATACAAACATACAGATGAAGCTAATAAAAGTGTTATAAAAAATGTGGAAAACGGTTGGCCTCAAGGGCCATCCCTGCAACTTCCCTCTAATTTCATACGCTAACGTTCAAATTTCGCTTTTTTCACTGCTTTTGAGCTCTTCGAAATTTTTCGTTTTCGATATCTAATAAAGTAAATCAACCGATTTCGACCCGGTTTGCGGCAAACGATGTGTTCAAGGTTTAGAACTGATTAGTTTTTGGTGTCGATCGGTCAAGTCATTTGGAAAAAATTCTCGAAATCTACTGGTCCGATTGGGTCCAAACTTACACGAAATTCAAGTGCAATGAAACCCTTTGGAATGCCGTTTAGTTTATTCAAATCGGTTGAGCAGTTTAATAGTTATAAGAGGGTCACATACATCCACACACACACACATACATCCACACATACATACAGACATACGGACATCATCGTAGAAATGTTCGGGGAAGCTTCCTCGACCCTCAGAACGTCGAGATCTGTTGAGAACTCGATTTTTGCAAAATGGGGTGAAACCAATATCTTCCCGATTTTTAGAAAATTTTCCATTTTCTTAGCGGGAAGTTAAAAAACAAATGTACACCTAATTTCTTTAACATATTGAAATATTGACCAATAAAAACGGTATAAAATCAACCGGAAAGTCTGAACTAATTGCATTTACTTTTAGCACTAAACTAAAGTATGAATGAGAACAAAGCTATTTTATTAAGATAACTCGCAATTTGACCCATATATTCGGCATAAAGTGCACTAGAAACCAGTACTATGGGTGCGTTCGAGCTACCTAATAATTGCAGCAGTACAGCTACTGTGTTGCATATTTGCTGATACTCTGCTGATGTGCAGACAAAAATTTAGTGCTGCCGATTATTTGCATAAATTGCGTGCAGAAAGTGACAGTAGAACGTGATGCTGTTGCAAGCCAAAAATTCACGCAGTACGTGATACTTTGACAAATTTGGGCTGATTAATTCGTTGGATTTTAAATTACACGTTCACTTTATTTTGCACAAAATATTTCGTTATCTTCAGTGCTGGATTTATATATAGCTAAGTAAAAATATGCACTAAATTTTGTTTAAATTAGTCAAGTCGTTTCTGAGATTGTCCAATTTTCGCTCCTATCCCCATTTAGTCTCTCCGTGGCCAATTTACTACGAAATTTAATGCCTCTGACGTTTTGCTTCACCGAGTTAAAGGTGGAGGTGGGCATGTTTTCACATTTCATACCTGTTTTCAGGTTTGATTGAAAAGCTTTATTGGTTCTTAAACAGAGGGGAATCAAACTTTAGATCAAAATACTAATTTCCGGCTTCATTATTAGCATTTTATATTGTTTCGCCCAAAGGCATTTTGTAATCGGAACCGTGGTCCGATTGCACCTATATTTAACACCAACATTCACAGAGGGCGAAGAAACATATGTACCAAGTTCTTTTTACACATAACACAGTCGTATACAGAAGTACATTTCGTCGCTGTTCTGTATAATTTGCAAAAACATATATCAAATAATTGTGTATCGTTTACATCGGATTTGTGGTTGCGATTTTTACTACGTTTAATTAAGTTTGGACTTTGCGTGTTGCAACACTGAATTGTTATAATTACATTTTTAAGGCCCTTTAAATTTTAAGTATTGTTTGTAAAAAAAAACACATTAAGTGGAAATAATATTTAATATCATTCGTGTTAAAAATTTCTAGATTAATATCAAATGCTTTTTGTGACAGTTAGATTTTTGAAAAATGATTTTCCGAGGTCAGCAAGAACAACGAAGTAGGAAGTGATTGAATTTTTCCCCGTTTTCTTTGCATGTGGTTGGTTTGTTGCAACTTTTAACGAAAATTGAATTGACAACGTTCATTTTATTTTGGTGATTTAGACATTTTTAGGTAAATTTCAACTGCATTGTTTGATTGACAATTTTACTGTTTACCATTTTATTCCAAGGTTAATTAGTTGGTTGAATAGACATCGACAGCACTTCAATTCGATTCCAATACTTTATTATTGGTCAGTTTCCTTTTTTATTTACTTTCAATTTGCGATATTTATTGGCAATCATTCATTCAATTAATAATTTTTTTTTTAAAGTGTAGTGTCGTCGATGCGCATCTATTTGATCATGCCTTACATGACATCGCTTTTAGGGAGAGTACAGAGACAAAGATATAGGGAAAATATACAATTGAGCAGAACACGAAATATAATTAATATTTATTACAAATTTAAATTTAAATGAAGTTGATGATAATGTTGATAATAATTCAGTTCCTTTGCAAAGTTCGTTTAAATGTGCATTGGTTGAAAAACTTCCCACTTTTGATTCCTTTCATATTGGTTCAATGAACTTGGTTTATAGGCATTATTTAGATAAGCATTTTGCTTCAGAGTTAACATTCTTTTTAAATTTATTTTTGTAAATTGTTTTCTACAACTTTCTATATATTTTCTTTAAATGAATATCAGAATCGATGTCGAGAATTCAACCGGGCCTTCGAAAAAATTTAATGGGTGATTTTCTTTCATTCTTATTCCCTTTTTCTAACCGGTAGAAATTTCCTTTGTAAGTTACTGTCTGTGTGTGATAAACAATACATTCGAAAGTGTGCCATTTTACATATACTTGAATACCTTTGGGTTAACCAAAAGCCAGATTACATTGAATCTGGTTTAATAACTCCGTATATTCTCATAAACACTAACTAATTTTAAATAAAATATAGAAGTAAAAATGTGTCCCTATAATTCTTTATATTATATCATGTTTATAATTTCGTATATTGTATATACAATATATAGACATATACATTTATATATATTTCTAATTTAAAGAATTTGGCAGAAAATTCATTATTCAAAAAAATACTGGTTTGTAACTTTTCATTTTAATTAAAAAATCTGTAAATTATCTCAAATGATGATATTTTTGCTAAGAAATTTTGCTTTCGCTAAGAAACTTAAGTGTGCGCAAAGAGCTCCTGTGCTATTGTTGTAGGGGTTATCTAGTCGCCGCTTAGGTGGTAAGGTTCAGGTTGGTTGTCATCGAAACCATCTAAAGGTAGACCCAGAAAACGTGCTATTTCGACGGGGTTTTTTTTTAAAGTTCTGAAAAATATTTAATGTTGTACCAAAATTGGTGAAATCGGCTCAAATCTGTCCGTTACCTCTTTACATTTTGACTACTCAAGGTTTATAACAAAGGAAAAAATATGCGAATCTACTTATAAGAATACTTTTATATATTCTTTTGTGTGCCCTTTTCATTTTTCATTAAAATACCTTTTAATTTTTATCAAAAATATATTCAATTATGTATATTGAAAATCAATGCATTTATTCCTCGGACTAAAGTCCTATTCATACTTATAATAACTGATTTTGGTAGATATGAAACAAAGTACATATATTTGACCTCTTGCATTGTAGTCTTATCGTACGAAAATTTATATGTCACATTATTCTTAAATAGTTATTATAGCCTTGTTGGAGCTATTGATCCTTATAGTCTATGCCCACAATTTCGATAATTGCAATAAATAAATTTAAATTAACTTTCATTAATATCGACACAGACAATTTTAAATTCATAGGTTTTATACAATATTCACTATAGTAATATCTTACTATACATACATCTCTACATACATGCATATATATTTATCACACATATCGCATTGGAATTTGTAGTAATTACAAAATCTCTGTAATCATCGAATTGTGAATGTGATTTTTTATAAATAAATAACCTACGCTAATCATATATTCCTAATATAAATATATGTACATAATAAACATATCACAAGATCATACAAATGATCTAACTATCAAACAATTCATTGTTTTTAAAAACAAAAACGAAAATGAATGTGAGGAAAATAACAATTTTACTTAAGAGTATTTAATTGAGCGTTGTATGACTTTTTAAAGTACCTCACCCAAACTGAAAACATTTTAGAATGATAGCTTGTCACCGGAAGCTAATTCCACACTTTTTAGCTATTTGAGGTGTATGAATGGATGCAATCGATAATAGCAATGGAATATCGTTTTCACTAAGATTAAGTGCTGTTGTTACAGTACTTAACTGACAAAATTCTGTTTCAAGCAGAAAGGCCGCTAACGATTCCGATTGAAGAAATATTTCTTGCATTTTCGATTCCAGAAATGCCAAACACTGAAAAATTTTGGATAATATTTACTGTAATTGTAAACATCAATAGCAATACAAACCTCATATGCGGAAATTCCAGCGGTATTCATTGCATGCACGGTTTCCAGCATATTAGAAACTAATTGCGACATTCCCACTGGTGTACTTTGTTCGCCTACGTATGGAAAATGTTGAAGTTGCGATGAAATCAGTCGTACATCCCATTTTTCCATATCCGCTACGATCGCAACATTCTCAGCAGACAATGAAATTAGTGATGCAGCACGAGCTGATAAAGCCAGATCTTCTCGAAGGGACATCTGCCATGTTTCTGGAGGTGCACAAGTACCCTACAGTAATAAGTATTTTATAAATAATTTATCATTGCTTCGTTCAATTTAAACTAAGATTCAACTACCTGTAAAACCATATCAGATACGTAATGATCTGTGACATTAAGAAAAAGTGACGGTACGAAACCTGCTCGCAATTTCATGCCATCTCCCGCACTTATTTCGTCTTCTTGCGGTATATCTCTAATTCCGGGTATCGGTAGTTTCACCAAATGTAGTGCTTCATTTACTGCCGCACACTTTGCAGCAACAGATGAGATAGAACCGCGATGTGAGGATAATTTACGTGTATTTGGGTTGTATGTCTTTTGTCGGTCCGTTGGAGATGGTGGGGAGCACAATTTAGGCTCGAATTCTGCAAAATTATCTACAGACGAAGATTTCAACGTATCAATTGAAGCAGCTGAACCGATAGGTTGCAAAGTACGCATGCTATTTGGCATCTGTGTTGTGGGACTCCTCAGCACTTTGGTTGCTGATTGTTGACAATGGGGAGAACGTATCTCATCCGTTTCAAATTCCAATTCTGTAGCGTTGGAGGGCGTTTGATAAGAGTTGAGTATGCTATTGCAAACCATACATTCCGTTGAATTGTCTGATGTACTTTCAATAGCTGTCGATGCAGATGACGAACACTCTGAAGTTAGACTTTCTAACGTTACACCACCTTGTGGTTTAAATTTAGTACTCTTGTCCATTAACAGGTCATAGTTGGATAACACTAAATTTTTGCTTTTCATGTAATTAGTGGCGATTTGTGGAAACTGTTCAAAGTTAAACTTAACGCCTGAGTGTCGCTTCGATGATGGGCCGTGTGTACGTTGATGCAGCGGACAAAGTAGTTGAGTGTTGCCGGTATTAGTGTCATCAGCATGCGTGGCTTTTGTACCCTCTTTTTCAATAGCTGTAGTAAGATTTTCGTTGCTTTTCTTAAGGTTAACAAGTGGCTCATTTTCGCCTAACATAAATACAACACCTCCTATAGAATTTGCGGAATTTGCATTCCCATTGCCACGATTTTTCTGACAATTGTCAAAATGAATTTCTTCTTCTAAACTCACATTTTCACGACGCGGCTCAATGCCCCACGTCATACGATCAGTCTTTCCCATGCTATTTTGAGTAATTAGATCCGAAAGCGACAGATGGGACATGGGTCCATCTAATTCCATTTGCCGTCGTAATTGAACACGGTCACCTGAATAAGACACATTAATTGCGTTCTCTCCGCGTTGTAGCTGCTTTAGACTTAGACCTTCTTTTACAACTTGCCAGAAAAAGTGTCTCTTTCCTGTATCCACAACCCCTTCGTCGGCTAATGAGAAGTTTCCTTCACTACCAGTGTCTATTTCTATGGCTTCTACAGCACCTTCTTCACTTGTGCTACCACCACCGAGTGAACTTTCATCTTCTATGCACAGTTCTTCATTATCAGGTGTTGTAATTAAAACTCGTATTTTTCCCTCTTTCTCTGTTAGAGACATGCTGTTTTTGATTTTTTGAGATGTTCCAAATTTTAATAATGATTTCTTTTCAATGCCTGTGTCCATAAGGTAATTGCCAATTCGCAATTCTTGTTGAACAAAACGAGAGTCTCTAAACGCCAGTACGTTTGGAATTTCATTCTTTTTTAACGTACGGACAACTTGGGCACCATCCATCTCCTCATCGCTGCTTTTCTCTTCTTCCCCTATAATATTCTCAGATAATTCGCCATTATCTGATATAGTGTTTAAATTTATTTTGCAAGTGTGTATACGTTTTAGACCTCCGCCATCGTTACTCCAATCCTTTATTAAGTCCCCAGAGAGAGTTGCCTTTTTCAGATTAGTACCACGTTGATATGAACCGTTGCTAGACTTTTTTAATACTTCATTTTTTCGCTTTTGAAGAAGAGAATTAAGTGTATCCTTGTTAAAGTCTTCACGCTTAGCAGAACGTCTTACTTCCCCACATCGTATGAAGTAGGTGAGTATATTAAGCAGTCTTTCTACTGCTAATTTTTCTGTGCCATATATAACCGTCCGCGCTAACCGTGGAGGCAATCCAATAGCCCCATATAGGTCACCCATCTGTGCCCACAAGGCATTATAAGGGTGTTTTTGTGATACCTGTAGAAGTTTGGCGCGTTGTTCTATCGCTGCCGTAGATGACTCAGTCACGGAAGATATCGAATTAAATGCGGCAACTGTGGATACCCAACCAAGATGGTGTGTTAAAATGGCCGTCAACATAGTGCTGATAAAACTGCAATAAGTAATTAATTTCATAAAAGATCTTTTTATTTCCATATTTTATATAGCGCTCACAAATTAGTATCCTTAGTATCAGCAAATGTTAGCAGCCAACATAATTCCTTCATAAATTTTTCTGCAACGCTTTTTGAATATTTGTTGCCGCTTGTGGTTATATCGAGCCAAATAGGGCATTTGATGCGAGGTGCAGTGAACAAGTCGCTAAACCACTGTTGGGTCTCCAGCCATGCTTGAAGCATAATCTGTAAAAAGTTATTTGTTGGAACATCAAATGTTGCAAATGTTGTCAATGATGTCAAGCTCTTAACAAATGTTAGATAATCACTTAAAATCTGCTTTCTGCACTTATTTTAACTAACCTGGTAAAATTCTTTATGATTAATGTATGCTCGCTCTGTAAAAGCACGCAAGCGGCCCAACATCGATTCCAGCAATGCTATGTGCTCACTACAAAATAGTTCCATCTCCTCTTCGAAAGACTCACTCATAGTGATGCACACAGCCAAACCCAGCTTAGCACGTCGATGCGAAGGCTTACCGCCAACACTTGATAACGTATCCCGACGTCGTCCAATTTCCGGATTACTGCGTGATTCATTCGCACTATAACTAGCTCGTCTGTAATTCGGCACACCCATATTCCCTCCTTCACTTCCACCACAATTGGCATTCCCCGTTGAAGTATAGTTGTCGCTGATGAATCCAATCAAATCATTAATTGCATATTCATTCTCGAACGATGTGCGTAGGTTACGACAGATGCGACGCTGAAGGCTACCGTCACTTACAGAATCGTCGAACAATGGGGTATATGCAAAATATATTGACTCAAAATTGAACTTTTGCAATGTGTCTATTTGCTCCGACGACATGGAGCCGAGACTGCTGCGTGTAGAGCACTGATACGATGCTGACCACTGATCGCTTGACATTTGACTTCGACTCATGCCATCGTAACCCGAATCGGTAACAGTGCTGTATGTTGACGAAAAACGTGGTCCACTATCTGCTCTCCCACCATCAAAAGCTGTTGATAATGACTGTTGATCCGGTACATCGAGTGGGCTAGTTATAAAACTATTACGATCGCTTGGAGTTAGACTAAATTGCCGGCCAATGCTCATGGGATAACCCAGCATTGAAAAAGAACTCATCGAAAAGTTGTCCATCGAGCCATGTTCGCTTGAGATAGAAGTACGTGGTGTGGCCAAACTGTTTGTAGAAATAGTCGAGTATGGCGAATGACCATTGCCGGAATAAACAGGTGTGAGAAAAACTTGCGAACATAATATACGGGGAGGCTGTTGTAACCAATGTACTTTGAAAGCTGTCCCGCGAAAGGACATAGCCGACGCTCCGAACACCATTTCCCCAATACTGGTGAATTCTGCAGAGTTTGGTTGTACATGCTAAGAATTAGGTATAACATTATGTTAGAAATCAATTCTGTTTATATATACATTAACGAGCAATACTGTAACACACCACAGTGATCCATTCTAAAATGACGCCAAAAACAAAAATAAACAATGATTTTAATGACTCTATTTATATTTTCAATTAATTATAGTCTTAGCTTTATTATTGTAACTGAACATGTCAATTCAATATGTTTAAAAGTAATAACGCAAAAAAACTCAATGTTACAGTTTTGCACTCGATGTGATATTAAAACATAATACTATAAGTCATAAAATTAATATTTGGTCCAAAAACCCTTCGTTTTTTCAAAACGTTCAAACTTCTTGAGTCCGCTCTCACAACTAATTTACCTCGTTACGAGGACTAAACTACTTAGCTAGCTGTACCAGGGCATGACTCCACAAATTTTCGATTGGATTCATATACTGTCATTGACGGGGTAATCTGAAGGTCGAAAATATTTGCCGTTTTATATAATTTTGTACAAGACGAGTCGTGTGTTTCGGGTCATTGTCTTGCTGAAGGATAACTTTTTCAGCAGGACAACCCAAATCTTCGATGACTTCCGAAAAATGTAAAATTGTCAGACTGATCTTACGCATGATTCCATCAATGATGTACCAGACTGTAGATCATTCTTGTGATACACTCCAAACCCTTGCGGGTCACCATGCTTTACAGTTTGGGAAACACGGTTTGGTTTAATCGTGTTTGGGTCTCGTGTATTACTATACCAGGATCGTACATCAGACTGTTAACAATTAATTTTCGTCTCATCAGATGAAATTACATTTAAAATTAAAAATAAAGTAAACAATTTATGATTTAAAATTTTTTGTTTTAAACTTCCCATATCCCAACCTTGTTCAGTCCAATGCTCATGCGTTGCAACAAAATCATTGTCTTGTTGTCAACATTGGGTTTTTTCCTTTTCAGATGCTTTAAGATCAAGGTTTTTAATAAACGGTGCCCTATCCGCTCACTTGCTTCGATATTTAGCACTTTAACAACTGCCACGGGTATTACCGCATTGTTCGAAGTGACCAATTGGGCGAGATGGCGGAAAGGTCGGTCGTTAATTTTTCTGATCCGACCACCTTTGTTGTATGACGAGGTTTTCAAATATTTTGTTTGAAACCGTGCACGGCCATATGACTAACCTTACATACTTTTGCTATTTTACGCACAAATTGCGCCTTTAATAATTTTAAAATTTTCTGTGTATTTTCGGGCTGCATGGTCACATTTGTTACTTGACAAGTCAATTATCACTTAACAACTAAAAAATTCCCGCGTGCTTATCGCAATTACAAAAAATAGCGGTAATAAACGCCTACACAACGCGCGAGCATAACTGTAGCATTTTAGTTCCTTTTAATTTTCGCTGTAGTTTATTATATTTCAAAAGAAATAATAAAAATTAGGTCTTAACTCTAACTGGTAGAATATATATATATTATATAATAGTAGTTTATTATATTTAAACAAAAAAATAAAAATTAAGTCTTAACTCTAACTGGTAGAATATATATACTTAATTAAAATAAAAGCGCCTTTAACGTGTTACAGTATTGTTCGTCATTGTATATGTATAACATGTATGTACTGTTTCTCACCTTATAACCATATTCTTCACAAACTTCTATGAAACTATTACTGGAATGTGTTTTATAGGCTTGAGATTTACCACAATTCGTGTTACCATTTCGATTGCGATTGTTTGTATTGTATTCACTGAACCTTGTAAATCGATCAGTTCCGTTTTTGCCAATATTACCATTTGTTTCCTTTAATGTCACTTTTTGCAGTGCATTGGAGTCAAACAACAATTTGCGGCCGGTCTTGTCACATTCTCGATAAAGCAGGACTCGCACTTGTCGACCATCAAATGGGAATTGGCTGTAAAATTAACAGAAAATTTAATTAATATTGTAAATTTAATATTTGTTGTACAAGTACATATGTATGAACATATATGTATATGTACTTAACACTAGAACTACGAAGAAATACCATATACCTATTTCAAATAGGTCTCTCTTTCTCTAAGAATTAGAAGCGTAAGAACAAAATAATCTATAAAATTATTCTATATACAAATTTTATAAAAATCGTGACATTATCGTAAAATGTTAAATAGGAATAAAGAGTAAATGGTATAAATAATTTATGCAACCGATCATTTTGACCGGTTCGTAGTTCTAGTTTTAAAAATATGCATGTGTATGTACATTCATATATATGCATTCGATTAGAGATTCTTCTAATTTTAGCGAAGCACGTGAGTATTATTCATTAAAATCATGAGTGTAGTGTGCTAATCAATTTAAGTTGAGTGGGCATGATTGCAGCGATAACGATCATCAGCTCTATCTGGTAGTTTTTTAGTCAAATGATAAGATACAAATAAAAAACAAGTGAGGAAGACTAATTTCGGGTATAACCGAACATTTCGTACTCTTGCAACTTGCAATGGCCCAACGTAATATTAAAAAATGTAGAGAAATGGACGAAATCGTAAAGAGATTACAAACAAATTTGGTATAATATTAACTTATTTTGAAGGTCATAGCCTCCCTTATACTAAAATCATTGGGGCAGAGAAATGGAAGGGCTGATATTTAGATTTTAACAAAACCGTTATATGGGGAGTGAGCGGGGTTATCGTCCGATTTTACCTATTTTCATGCTATCGTAAGAGGGGTTGAAAGAATTTGTCCTATATAAGTTTGAGTGATATAGCTTTATTGGTTTGGAAGATACATACATATATATTATACTTATTAGCGCGGGGGAGGGGCACGCCCACTTTTTAAAGATTTTCCAGCCACAGGTGCCCCTTCTTATTGTGATTCTTTGTGCCAAATTTGAAGGCTTAGTTATGGCACTTTATACTTTTCCGATTAATGGCGTTTTGGTCCGAACTACGAACCTGTCCATACTTTTTTGCAAAGGACCAAGTTTCATTAAGATATTTTTATTTTTACTCAGGTTACAGCTTACATGGACAGACGCTCGGACAAACATCAACTCGTCTCGTCATCCTGATCATTTATGTATGTACGATATAAATAACCTTATATTTATCTCGATTAGTTTTAGGTAATACAAATAACCGTTAGGTGCACAAAACTATTATAGTCTGTAGCAACATGTTGCAAGAATATTATTATATAAATGACGTTATTTATACATACTACGACCATTTGTCCACTTATTAAAAACAACTTTATAAAGTATTGCAAATCAAATATGATGAGAATGAAAGCAACACTACACTGTTTTTGTAAGTTGGTATACAAGGATCAAATTTGGTTCCTACAAATTACATTTGGATATTATTGTACTTGAAGTAGTGAATTTATATTTCACCTAAAAATCTTTCTCTAACGTCTAAGGATTACACTGGTCTAAAGTGGTTTTGCTACACGAGATATAAAACCAATTTTGGATATACATATGTGGGCATAAACCACAGTTAATTATATCTCATTAAACCGCTTTTTATTAGGTTTTCCTTTATAATTTTCCATTTAACATTCTGTTTTTAAGGTCCAACAGTAATCTGCAATTATATGATGATTCCATTAACCTTGATGCATTTCTTCCATCACTTTTAGGTCGTAGTGGAATGACTCTCCATTTTCCTCACTATAATTTCCTAAATTATCTGAAAATTTATTCAGATGATTGCGGAGAATGTCTAACTTGATACTCATGTTTGCTCCTAGAGTCTGAAAATTTGTCAGCATATTTTGCACAATTTCTTCATAATTTGGTACTTTATAGTTACCTAGGGAATTTCCGACTATCAGCACATAATTTTTCCACGATTCGCTTTCCAGAACAGTCATAACTTTGATAAAATCTGTATCTTTCATTAATTGCTGTATCAACTATTCCACCTTTCAACTTTTCCATACTAAACTTCGAAAATTTTCTACAAATGTAAGTAAAACAATATCCTTCCAAGTCCAATGCTTTGACAAATTGTTTTATCGTGTCTAACTTTATCGCGTAAAAACCCAAAGTTCATTTTGAGGAAATATCTTTGGTGTAGATATTTCATCCTCCCATCAACATCTATTCGTAGACTGTATCGATATCTGGGTATTTGGCGACATTATTGTTTCTGAGTGAAAATGTACATTTTGTAGACTGTAATTCCAGATCTACGTTTGATTTTTAGTAAAACCTTAAAACTTTATAATTGTTCGCATATTTTCGGTAAGGAGCCTGAGGATAAGGATAACGTGACGTTTACATGTGCGAAAAAGTTGCGCAGAACCCTAATCATGATCGGAAAACTAAATGTTTTCCCTAACAAGCCGATATTTATTAACGTATGTATATGATATGCAATTATCTAAAAAACAAGAAAATATTCAATATTTTCATGAAAAAGGTGGTAATCTGGACACTTGAAAGATATTCAGAGCAACAAAAAAAAATTGGGTTTTTGTAGAGCAGTTTTAATTATCGAGGTCATTGTATAGTAGAAATGCATATACATGTACACTCATACCATATACATATTCGAACACACTTACTTGTTGCGCAAAATAATGGAACGCATTCGCAAAGGTAAAATACCTTAAATCACAATTTTATTTATTTTTTTAATATTATATATGTTTCAGATTTTTCAATTATTAAATTTAAATGCTTAAGATTCTCACTAAAAATTTATGACAAATATTATTCGCTTTGTATCCAATAGTCAGTAAACAATTCCAATTTATTATCATGATGACAAAATATAAAAGCGCCGCCGTATTAGTTGATAAAACATATTAATTGCACATGTCCCCATACACTTGGAAAATAAATATCGCTTCACACCGTTGCTTTCTCACACTCTATGATTAACGTGGGGTTGTAAAATATGAATAGGTGGATAATATCATTCACATTATGTATATACATATGCACATATTTATATAGCTGAGAAAAGATAGAATCGCTGCAATAAGAAACAGTTGAGGAGACACATTCGGTTTTGGTACTACGAACACTTTTAAACGCGCGGTAAGCTACAAACTAGCCCTATACCGTTGTTGTTGAATCAATAGAAGGATTTATCTTCAGTTTTATTATAGACGCGATATTAAAGATTGAATATAGCTCAATACTAGAATTCTATTGTACTACATAAAGTTCCATTTGAGTTATTATATTTTTTTATTTGCCACGTAAACCGATTTGTACTTGCTTAAATTTTGCAAATAAAAATATTTAATTACGAGCGTATTACAAAATGTGAGACGAGCTATTTGAACGCACTCTGCGTTATGGTTTGCTAGAGTTTTTGACCGCAGTAGCTGTCTTCATTTGTCACGACTGCCTAATGACCAATTCACATAGAACTTTTGCTTCGCTTTGCGTCAGACATTTGTTTTAACAGAACTTAACTGTTGTGACGCTATCGTGATATATTTTTGTGTAGTGCTAGCTTTTCTCTCGCCGGCTGACTGGGGCGACATAAATATGTATGTTAGCTGTGAGCAATCTGAACACATAATAAAACGATTCATACAATATGTTTTAGAAACTCAGACGTCAGCAAACGAAATAAATGGTTGGGATGAATTTTGTATGCAGATCACATGATCTGTCCAGTCAATAAACTGTGCACAAATTTGCTGACCAACATAGCAATTAAGTTTCTTACTGGTAGACCAGTTTGTTTCCCAAGTACAACGATTGGGTAATTCGAATTAGAAGATCAAAATGTATGAATAATATAAAGGCAAAGATATATAATATTTTCATACGTCTAGTAACATATACATAAATCTACACTAACATATATATTTAAGACTGTTTTTTCTTTAAATATCGGAAAAGCCTACCGATTTTTTATACTCTCGCAACCTGTTGCTACAGAGTATAATAATTTTGTTCACCTAACGGTTGTTTGTATCACCTAAAACTAATAGAGTTAGATATAGGGTTATGTATATATAAATGATCAGGATGAAGAGACGAGTTGAAATCCGGGTGACTGACTGTCCGTCCGTCCGTGCAAGCTCTAACTTGAGTAAAAACTGAGATATCTTTATGAAACTTGATAAACATGTTTCTTGGTACCGTAAGACGGTTGGTATTGTAGATGGGAGTAATCGGACCACTGCCACGCCCACAAAACGCCATTAATCAAAAGCAAATAAATTGCCATAACTAAGCTCCGCAATAAAATACAAGACTGTTATTTGGTACACAGGATCACATTAGGGAGGGGCATCTGCAGTTAAAAATTTTTTTAAGAAGCAGGCGTGGTCCCGCCTCTAATAGGTTTAATGTGCATATCTCCTAAACCGCTAATGCTATAATAACAAAATTCACTGGAGGCAAATGTTTTTAGTACTTCTATTGACGGTGTGAAAATAGTTAAAATCGGGTAGCAACTCCGCCCACTCCCCATATAACGGTACTGTTAAAAACTACTAAAAGCGCGATAAATCAAGCACTAAACACGCCAGAGACATTAAATTTTATCTCTGGGATGGTAGGAGATTACTTTATAGGAACCGCGTTCAAAATTAGACATTGGGCGTGACACAGCCCACTTTTAGATGAAAACCCATATCTTGAGATCTGCTTAACCAATTTCAACAAAATTCGGTACATAACGTTATTTTCATATTTCTATGTTATAAGGCAAAAATGGGCGAAATCGGACTACAACCACGCCTATTTCCCATATGACACCATTTTCAATTCCATCTGATTCTTTCACTTTCCACTATGCATATCAAGCAAAAATGATTATATCGGGGTAAAACTTTGCGTGAATAATACGTTTAAAGTATGCCACCTTGTGACCAAAAATTGTCTAAATCGAACCAAAACTGTTCAAGCCCCTAAGTACTAAATATGTGGACCCCAGTGCCTATAGTTGACCTTCTACCGAAAATATCGGTCAATCCACAAAGAAATCTTAAACGAGTATACCATTTCACTTTGCGAGAGTATAAAACGTTCAGTTACATCCGAACTTAGCCCTTCCTTACTTGTTAATATTAAAAATTAATCATGTTGATTTTCTACAACTCTCATTAGCAATGGTTTAACAGTTATTTTTATACCCTAAATAGGGTATATTAATTTTGCCACGAAGTTTGTAAGACCAAGAAGAAAACGTCGGAGAACCTATAAAATATATACATAAATGATCAGCATGATGAGCTGAGTTGATTTAGCCATGTCCGTCTGTCTGTCCGTCCGTCTGTATATATGCAAACTAGTCCCTCAATATTTAAGCTATCGATCTGAAATTTTGCACTTGTCCTTTTCTCAATAAGAAGCTGCTCATTTGTCGGAACGATCGATATCGGACCACTATAGCATATAGTTACCATACCAACTGAACAATCGAAAGCAAGTACTTGTATGGGAAACTTCTTTATTTGACGTAATATCTTCACGAAATTTGGCATGGCTTATTATTTAAGGCAATAATGCAATCTTCGAAGAAATTGTATCGATCGGATGACTATAGCATATTACTGCCATATTAACTAAACGATCGTAGTAAAAGGTTTGCATGGAAAACTTTTTTTCTGCCGAGGTATCTTCACGAAATTAGGCATGAGAAATTGTTTAAGGCAACAATTTATTCTCAGGTGAAATTGTTCAGATCAAATCACTATTCATATAGCTGCCATACAAATTAAACGATCGGATTCAAGTTCTTTCTTGTTTTTATACTATGTTGCTACAGAGTATAACGGTTGCTTATATCACCTAAACCTAATCGAGTTAGATATATGGTTATATATACATAAATGATTATGTAGCTTTTTTGTTTTTAAAGTGGGCGTGGTCCTTCTAATAATTTTAATGTGCATATCTCCTAAACCGCTAAAGTTATAATATCTCAATTCACTCAGTACAAATATTTTTAGCACCCCTATCGACAGTTTGAAAATGGGTGAAATCGGGTAATAACCGCGCCCATTCCCAATAAAACTACTTAAAGTGCGATAACTCATTAAATACACCATTTAGAGAAGTTGAATTTTATACATAGGATAGTACAATTAAGCTTTATAGGAGCCAAAACAAAAATTCCCCAATGGGCGTGGCACCGCTCACCTTTATGGGAATACCCATATCGCGGGACCCGATCGACCGATTTCAATGAAAGTCGTTATGTAACGTTCTTCTGACATTCCTAAGTTACAGTGTGAAAATGTGCGAAATCGGACTAAAACCACGATAATGCTTTTAAAGAACACCCCTTATGACCAAAAATCGAAATCCAAATCGAACCGACACCGTTCAAGCCACTAGGTATCGAATATGTGGGGTCCACATCCAGTGCCTATAGTTGGCTTTTTAACGGAAATATCGGTCAATGTGTAAGTTATATAATTTAAATTCATATAATAAAATAAATTAATTAAACTCTCGATAATAGTATATTTTTGTGTCAAAAATTTGTTGAATCGGATCAATGCTTCCTTCAATAAAAAAATTTGCCAACACCTGAAGTAATTTCTCAGGCTTTGATGAGTATTGATAGCATACGACTCAATAAATAAGAATAAGAGTTTTGCATGTGGAAAATTGTGGTTTTGTGTTAAAATCAAAATAGAACTTTAAACAATTATTTCCTTCCATCTCACGTCTAACAACTGTTGAAATCAGCCCATAACTTTCTTTAATGATAAAATTTTTATCTGTCAAAATAAGGTCGGATTTGCAAACTTCTTTTTTCTACAAAAATTTAACTACTGTGAATGAAAAAAAAAACGAGGAACTGGCAATGCCTCTAGTTCAATATACAAGCCGAGATAGGTTTTAACAAATCAATATAAATATGTTGGCTAAGTCTTCCATACAAAATAAGCTAATAACTTGCTTGCACGAATATTATTGAAATTCAGAGGGAATATTTTACTGATCATAATGTGCATTTATCTCAAAAATTGGTAAAACCATGTAATCAATTCCTCTAGAACCCAGATACCTAAAATAAATATTTCCAAACTTCTAGTTAACTTTATACAATACTATACATATCGATCAATCTTCGAGGTATCATAATGAAACTCAAGAGCATGTTTTTCTGATAATAGTATGTCGATATACCACAAATATACAAAATACTACCCCTAGTCCACATATACCTTGTATTAATAATTTCAAACATCTGGTTAGCTTTAAACCATTTATATCGATCAATAAATTAATAACGTTCAACTAATTAACAACGACATGTCCGTTAACATTTTGCACCTGTGTATAAAATACTTAGGGAATAAAATGTTTGGTTTTATTAGTTACTTTACATAAGTTACCTAAGTAAAATTGATATACTTATGTGCAAATTTTTTTTGTAATTCTTAAAAGAAAAAAACCGTAACTTAATTCTGAATATAATTAACGTACCAAATGGCATATTTGTGAGTTGGCAACGCGAGACATGATTTGTTGCTCCAAAATCAAGGCCTACAAGGTTTACAAGTGTCTAGACAACGTGTGCAACAAATTTTGAAAGAGGACCTAAATCTTGAATATGAATCCAAAGTGCCTAAACTTTGCTTGTTAGATCGTCATAAAAAGACACGCCTGTCCTTTTTTGAAAAATGCTAAATCTGGGAAAAAGACTGTAGTGATGAGAAAAAATTCAATTTAGATGGCCTACATGGTCATCATAAGTATTGGAGGGATCCGCGGCACCCTTGGCAAACTTGCAGACTGCTTTCAGCGCTAAAGCGAAGCTTCCCATTTGCTTTCTTCTGAGTCGTATGAATTCCCAAATATATGTCGAATTGCTAGACAGTGAGCAGATCACGTTTGTTGAGGAATATCATGGCGACAACTGAATATTCCAGCAGGATAACGCGCCTATCCACGTCGCAAGATATATAAAAGCCTTTTTTGAGTCGGGTAATATTCCTTTACTTCAGTAGCCGGCTCATCTGAATCCAATAGAGGATTTATGGGGCACACTTTACGCAAAATTTTTTTTCCATTGAGTAGGAATGGGCAAAGATAATCGTGTTATTACTGCAAAAGTTAGCCAATTCAATGACAAATCAGATAAAACTACGAAGGGTGGCTCAATTATGTCTTAAAAAATCTAAAAAAAATTTTTAAGTTTATTTATCTATTTTAAAGTTAATACCTTACTAAAAATGTGAAGTTTTCACGTAAATCCATTTTCTATGGTATAAAATGATGTTTTATTAATTTTGGAACTTTTTCTTTCAGCATTGAATATGTTTTCGTTTCCTTAAATACTACTTACTAACATTTAACAAAAAAAATCATACTTAAATATGCAAAGGTTGAATTAAAATTAAGAAAAATAACAATGCACATATGTAGGTATATCCATTTGTCTGGCGTATGTCTAACGAATGCTCTTAAAAATTCGTTTTTCAAATTCGCTATTCAGGAAAAATGGGATTTTTTTGCGAATATATTATATTTTCATTGAAAGGAACTATTTTCAAAAAATTTAATAGTTTGGGTGAGTCAAAAATATGAGTAAAACGAAATTTTATGGTAAGAATACTAGAGATGACATGAAGAAAACGTAGTAATCAAACCAAGAAAGTCTATAACATATCATATAAGTTAATAAGATACCAAATAGGCTTGTAATCTATTTAAGAATAATGAATTTTGAGGCCATTAGAACATTTTTAATATCAAGTTTTTATTTTGGTAAACCTTCTATGTTAGTATAAATTTCCGTTTTGTATACATTGCAAGAGATAAAACTTTATGTATTTTATTTTAAAAGATTTTGGTTTATTTTAATTATTTTTTCTATTCTAACATATT